GTAGATGCAGCCTCATGGCTCTGCTTCCAGTCCTATGGGAGCAGCCCAGGTGTAGCACATATGAATGCTTGAAGTCCCAGTTTGGTCTGTCAGCATTTAGCATTTGCCTGGAAGGAGTAGCAGCAACAGGGTGCTAATCGATGCGTACTGACTTCCCAAGAGGACTCCTCTATGCACAGCCCTGTATTCACTTTGAAAGTGATGCTGTTGTTACCAACTGGGTACCAAGCAGGGGGATGGGGTGGAACCACACTCTAAAGCAGATCTCAGGCAGGGGTGGCAACAGCAGTGAGCTTCCCAAGAGGAAATATGGTCTCTGGCAGCTCAGAGCCAGCGCCCAGTCCAATGGGCATTTACAGGAGTACAGGGACTTTTTAATATACCTTTGATCCTATACTATTTAAGATAACAACCACATTAACACTGATGAATTTTTTGTAGCCAGGCCAGAAATTATCTTTTCAACTGAAATAATTGCCAGTGAATCTGGTTGCTTTTCAGACATCCTGGAAAGAAGATAGATTTGCATGCATGTTAATATGATGAATGAGCTGTCTGCTCTTACGTGAATGATCAGCAGTGTCATCTTCAAAGTAATCAAGACAACAGCAACTACTTAATCACATCCACTGGTGCTGATATAAAATGTAAGCCTTTTATTAGGCATTCATATTTCAACCTCCTCTTCAGCTTCAGCACATGACTTAGTAAATATTTGCCAGCAGCAGAGCTTGTTTGCTAGGAGAGATCCAGGCTGTCAGCTGAGGCAGCTTTTAATGGTCCATTTGATAAAGTTAATTCTGCCATGGGCTGATGTCAACACATAATGAATATATAAGAGGGAAATTCTTGTAATACAGTACTAATGGCCATGTATCTTGCTTATTATTAATAGCAATGTTTAAGGCCCTTGATATACAATAGAAATTCAGCATTTTGGGGATCACTTTTAGGTGTGCACTCCAGCAAATTGTGTCCACTCTACCCTTTGGAAAGCCAACACCCTGACTTAACATACAAGAAGGACTCTGGCTTTTCTAAACAGCCTCCTTGTTTTACACTTTCTGTAAAAGGAATCCCCCATCTATAAAACTGAACCCTGGTGATGAAGGTCCCAGGTCCCATGAAGAACAGGTCGTTGCATTTTGCATCATAGAGGAATTTGTGAAAGAAGCTATGAATAGAAGGGGAATTTACAATCTTCCTCTAAAAGTCTAACTTTGTAGGCAAAAATGGAGCCAGCCAAAATCAACCTGGAGAGGAGGCATCTATGGGCTGATCAAAGATTTATTCATCCCTTTACTTAACCACTCCCTCTCCCTATCAGTCAGCTGCTCACATCTGGACAGCTCTGGCATAGGAAGCCTCCTTAGAGCAGTCTATGAGTTACTGGTAAATTGGAGATGTGTAATGGTAAAAGGATTTGATTTTGCCCTTGATTGCCCTTATTATTAAGAGTGTGACTTTATCACTTTCCCACCCCTCTCTTCCCACTCAGTTAATTACTAACCAAGTCCCACCAGCAGGAAATAAGATCTTATCATGAAGAGTAGTAGTCATGGCTGAGTAAGACATGCCTTGGAAATGGCAGATGCAGCCAAGTCAGAAAATCAAATAATGTACGCGTTTCCAACAGGCCTGAGACAAATGGCTAAACTGTGGCAACAGCCCTTCCCCATGGTGGGAGGTATTTGCATGCAGGATTTCCTTTGAACCATAATGCAGATGCAGCTGCTCTGCTTGTACTTGAGGCCTTTGAAGTTTGAAGATCCAAACCTCATTTCCCACCCGTTCTTAAACTGAAGTGATTGGGAACTGAATGAACTTAAATTACAATGTTTGTTATTGTATCTCCTAGACGTATGACCTCACTCTGTCAACGTCATTCCTTTCTCTTGCAGGATTTTGCCTGTATGTGCAACACACATGACATTTCCAGAAAGTCCAGGTGTTGTGCACTTATCACTTCAGCCTCCTTTTTCCCATTATGAAGCGTGACACACTGTGTATGGAAAAGCCCAGAAAGCCATGCCCTGCAGCACCAAGAGATATACTCGGAGCTTTCGAAATGATGCTCATCTTTTCCATCATGTTTCAATCCAACATTATTCATTGTGTGATAAATATCATCCAGATGAGTGTCATGCAGGTTTGCTCAAAGCTTGCATTGGTTCAGGCAGATTTTCTAGTCAACCGTCACTTTCAAAAAGCAAGAACTGTTCCTAGTCTAGTTGTTTTCAAGAGTTGAAGAAAAAATATTCCTTGTCCTTCCATTTTCTTATACATTCTTGAGGAATTATGCTCATTGGTGACCCTCAGGCAAAATAACCGTTTGACCAAGTTGTAACACTGTGGGATGTTCAAGTAGTACAGCAAACTTCAGAGAAATATTCAAAAATAGCAAACAGTGAACGGCAAGAGAGGGAGATCCAGCCAAATCTCCACAGAACCCAGGGTGGATGAGCTTATGTTAGCACAGCACAAGCTGATACAGCTTGGGGCACACATCATGTAGAGTTGTCAGCTCAGTTCCTGCAAGCACATCGGTTGTGGAGGTGTACTGACCTCTAGCATCCACAGGAAATGAAGGGAGTTGTGCTGCATGGCACAGAAATGCTTGCATTGGAGAATCCCTTCTGCTTGGACCAGTGGTCAGGGAGTCAGAGACCAATAGCAGCTGGTGGTGACCAGTATCCAGAGCTGTCCACGAAACACAACCAGTAACTCTGACATTGCTTATCACCAGCTAGGAGGATTGGAGGATAGCGATGAGCAAAAGAAGATGGGCAAACTTGAAAGGGACAGTCAAAATCTTCCATGTACACAGTGCTCCTCTTGGCTTCTACCTTTCAGACCAAAACAATGTGAACTGGCATTTCTCTTTCCAAGCTTGTTGTGGGGCTAAGAAGTAAGAAAGAAAAAGCTCTCTCTATGGTAATATATGGTAATAAATACATTTGCACACTTAGGCACTCACTCTACTACACCAGCCAGAAAGATACTGATTTCAGCAAGTCAAAATGCAAGACGTCCTGGCGCCCTTTCCAAAATATTTGCTTATATAAAATGAAAGTTTTACAACAAACACATGTCCCATTAAAAAGCTTCTTAACATATCAGTGACATAGGTGCAAGCAAAATCCCTCTAGACATGGTCTTTAATTGGTCTGCCCCACATCTTCAAACCTAGGATATAAATATACCTGATATGGGTAATATACTGATAAATGGAGGGGTTTTTTTGTCTTTTAGACCTCAAAGAATCATCTGGGAAACCACAAAAGTTTAATGAGCTTGCCCTAGAGACATTAGGTTTTATGGAAACAGATTAAAAAATTTTGCTTTACAACTTAATCATGCAGTATGAGTAAAGAAAAAATAATGCCATACAGAGAAGACATGGGAAATTCCTGCATTAGTTGTATGAAATGTATGAAAATGAAAATTATGCAGAGATAGAATGAAAATCAAAACAAATGTGAAAGAAGACAGGCAAGTATGTAAAATAGGGATTATAGGCTTATAAGAGACAAGGGCAGTTCCCTATCAAGGCAAGAGGTAATCCTTAATGTAACTTATGTCAAGAAAGTTTTCGGCATCTTCACATTTGAACTTTTGCAGGAAGATGGAATAAAAGATTGAAGAATAAACCTGGAATCCATCTCTGTACGTTATCTTAGGAACAAAATTTGTTCAGAACAGCCAAGCCACTGAGTTTCTTAACTGTGGATCTGATGGTGCTGTGGGGTTCAGCTCAGTGTCAGGTCAGGGAGTAATTTCTGAGGACTTGTTTCTGATTAGACTGAACACTGTGGAATGCTTCTTCTCTCATTACTGCTTGCCTGTCTGACTTAGACTGGGAGCTCAGGTAACACAAGTAAGCAAAAAGCTCAGAAGCACGAAGAACCATCATTTTGTGATCAGTTAATTACAAATGCAGCTACACTTCGAAGGAGTGCTCTGTAAATATTTTTGTCCTTAGAAAAGAAGGTGACATCAGCAGTGAAAAATTTGCACATGCAGATCCATGTACACAGACAAAAAAGGGCTTAAAGAAAAGCAAGAGCAAAGAAGAAGGTAGGTCTTTGGCAGACATATGCAATCATTCTGATAAGTAGATGGTGTACAGTCTGCACACACCAGCAGTAGGACCTGTACTTCCAGAGCACAAGCTTGTCCAGTTTTGAAGCTGAAGATCAAGAGAAGTGTTCAGTTTTGAGGCAGCACAGTGATGGGACGGTATGGAACCCCGAACACAGTCATTGAGATAGGGCTCAAACATAGGTATCATGCTCCCTTGAATTGCTGTGCTAAGCTGCTGTGATGGGATAGCTGTAGGTCCTGCATCAGGTCTGACAGCTACATGACAGTTTTTCAGATACTGTGGAGCATTTCAGATGGCACGTATGTGTGTGAGTCTTAGCATGCAAGCTGTGTCCTATCTGAGCCTGGGGCGCCTGTGAATTGTTTTCTCCTTGGCTCTACAAGGTTCTTTACATCAGACAATCTAAAGTTATTAAGATCATGGATTCACAAGATGATATGATGTGAGTACTGTATGTACAAGCAGAAAGAGGCAAGACCAGTTCCTAAATGCTAACTTGCTCATGGTGTCAGAAAGCATAAGAAATCCTTCTGTGTTACTGCTACCTTCTCTTATGATGTTTGTTCCCATGACATCCCCATTGCAGTAACAATCCCATTATGATGACACCAAGAAGGCTCTCCTGGTCAGAAAGCCATGCACAGGTGTGGCAAGACATATAGCAGAATGCAAGATTTGCTACAGTTACACCAATCTAAACACATCTCTTTTATACTACCTGTTGACAAGAGAATAGCTTTTGTGTTCCACATAGGTCTGTACCTACCAAGACATGATATTTATGAACAAGGTGGGAAGTGCTGCAGAAATACAGAACTTGACCTGACTTTTTTTCTGGGTCAAGGAATAGATATTTCCTCCCATATTGTTCTGTCAGAGCTGAAGGGTTCTTGCAGATGGAGTTGGGTGGGCAGAAAGCCAGCTCTTTCTATTGGCAGGCACAGAGCGGAGAGGACAAGGTGGCAGCAACCCAGGTTTAGCTTGGCTGATGTTGGCAGGGAATTACACTGTTAACACTGTATTCAATGTGGTGTATGCTGGGTCAGGAGTGTATGAAAATATACCTGCTGCCTAACACCTATATTAGGCATTCTGGCTAAATGAACTGAAATTTATTCAAAACTCAGACCTGGTTTTCTTCAGATCCCTTTTGTGGAATGATCCATCAGCATCCAGACCTGGTACTGTGGAAGCACAAATCCCATTCCCATCATTAGCTCTTGGTGGGATTTCTGGCATGGTCCCAGGTTCATCCTTCCAGAGGTACGTGCATCTCCATCATGAACATCAATTCAGTGCTCCTCCTGCAAGGAAGGCAGGAAGATTAATTTCTTGTCATACGTGACTGAACTGAAGTCACTATACACTTGGATACCCAAATAAATGAGAAGACATCCTCATTCCAGGAATCAACTGGAGATTTCAATTTCACAGACCTTCCTATGCCTCCGGCTCTCTAGGTTTTGGCTTTCTACACGTTCTTGGAAAAATAATAATAATAATAATAATAAAAACCTAAAAACACGATGCTTATTTAACATTCTGCCATTAACACAAAGTGCATATAACTTTGGCTCCTCTCCTCAGCTGGGCTGACTATTAAGGAATAAACTACAATACTTTTGCAGTCAGAGGAATGGGTTTTCATGAGGGAGAATGAGGAAAAGATGAAAAAAACAAAACAAAACAAAACCCTCAATGCTGCGATTAAAATTCTGTAATCTGACAAAAGGCCAGTGTACTGATCCAAAAGATTTGGTCCCCAGAGGAAATGTCTTTTTAATGAAACTCATATTTGGGCTATGCCAAGGTTACATCGGGCAAGATAAGACTTTGTCAAAAGCAGTCTGCTGGCAAAGCCCCAAGTTTTCCACTGCCAAGAAGGACATCTAATTTCAAGGATGCCTTCCACCAGCAGTGACTGCTCCTGCTTTTTTGAGAGCCCAAGCAGGCAGGCTGATACCTCCAGAGTTAGCCTCCATTTGGGATGGGAAAAGGGATTCAGTTCTCTTACACAATATTTAACAAGACCTCAAAGCCAAAGATGTTTACTCTCCTTACTTCAGCCTAGAGCATGACTGCAAGACTCAACTAGCCTAGAATTTTCACAAGGCATCTCTGAGATGAATCATTACTACAAGATACATGATTACTTAACATATTGTATGCACAACTAGATGAAACCAGCTTTCTCCTCTCTTTTCTTTCTCCTTCATCCAATCTCCCCAATTATCTTCATCCAATGAAGCCAAGCTCCTTTCAATACCTCAAACTTGCCAGGGAGAGCTGTTCCAGCTTGCTAATTGAATTATAACACACCCTCTAAATTTGACTCTGGCTCAGAAATCACTTAGGTGAGAATATCCCTTAAGAGCATAACAAGAAGAGCATGGTTGGATGAGTAATTGATTCAATTTGGATTGAAATGGAATGATCTAGTTGTGTCCTACTCTGTTTTCTCCTCCTATATTTGCAGAGACAAAATGCCTGCAGCAGGTCTGTTCTCAGGGCTCAGAAATCAGTTGAAGGCTCTGAACTTTCCTTTAGAGGAAAGTTCAGCCATCATCAGGAATTCACAAGCAGCTGTTCTCTTACAGAAGAACAGAGCTGGGAGATGGAGGTCCAGAGCTGTGTGGGTAGACAGCACTTTTGCTTTGAGGATTATCTAAGTGGCTGTTTTTCAGTGGGGTGATGACTGGATTTTCAGGACTGGACGTAAGTTGGAGAATGATCCCAAGGCAGCCAAGCAGTGGGCTGAGTGTCATCCATTTTCCATCACAATTCATAGGTTATCTTGTTCACAGAGGCAATGCCTGCCCTGGGACAGATATTGTCTGAGCAGTGACAGTCTTGGCATGATTTCTGGAAAGAAGGCAGGGGAGGACTGACAACTGGCAATGGGATAAGCAACAGGAAGCCAGGTGCCTCATGGGGGAGAAAATCAGAGGATGTCAACACTGGGAGACCGCTGAGGAGTTGTCTAATTTTACATTTAGTAGATGAATTGTAGTGGTACAACTTCATGCCGGAGGCAAGGGAGATGTATCCCTCTTTGCCTGCATGCAGCACCTAGTGGATCTAAAAGCAAAGATAAGAACCTGATATGGAGCAGTTGTTACTGTCTTCTTACCCCGCCTTGACCTATCTGGGCCTGGAGGATCTCTGATAAATCTTTCAGCAAATATACCTGGCTCAGAGCACACCAAGGCTGCCAATTTATTAAGAAAACTAATAAACACAGTAGATATGATCTCAAAAAACTTGGAGCAAGCTGCTGCTAGGGCAGAGATTTTTCCTTTTGCACTTCCAGGGAGAACTTCAGCTTACGTTTGGGAAGGCAGGACTGTATAGGAATATGCAATACAACAGCAAGTGTCATCTTAGCCATGTTTAAGATGAGATGGACTTTTTACCCCTCTGCATGCCCATCTCCAACTATCCTGACAGTATTTCTGCTTCCCCTCTGCTTCAGATAAGATCTGAATATGCAGATCTGGGACACTAGATGCAAATGGTGTCAGGTCTGCAATGTAGAGACTGAACATTTCAAAACAGTTGTATGCTCACACTATCAGTGCTCTCCCTGAGAGTTGGAAAGCTAAAAATTTTTCTCTATGAGTGACAGCATGAAAATAAAGGTCCATATAACACATACAACAAAGTCTGGTGAGAACAGGGGAGTCTCTGTTGTAACGTTTGCAAGTGAAGGGTTTTGCAGATGGATTTGTTGCATCTCTCATAGCACAATATATGCCAGGATGGTTTATGGCCTCAACCTTGTAGAAGAACCTCATCCCAGTATTTCTTCCCACACTTTCTGGCTGGCAGAGCTCAGAAAAAGAAGAATTGATCCTGGACATACTGGGGCAGGGGAAGGAGTCTTTTCCTGATTTGCAAACACTGATTTGCAATGGATTTGTACCTCTTCTTCCCAATCTTTTTTTCTGCACAGCTCTGATTCCCACCACTCATCTATCCTGCAGGCTTTAGCTTGAATGTTGCCACCTTATTAAATGTGAATTGAATTAGACAGGAGGCAATTAACTGCGCTGGAATTTTCCCAGGGTATCAGAGCAAACATACTCAGTGATATCTGGTGAGATCTTTACAGACCACAAGCAACATAGATATCGTGTATAATGATGGTGCTTCCCACATTTTCCTTAGCATGCTTCTGGGACATTGTGCTGAGGAGCAAATCAGAGGGAAGGGTTAAGACACCTCTCTTTGTGAAGCAACTGGGATTTTCCTTGAGATCTCTTTGAGTGTGAGTCTGCTGCTGTGGTTATTCATTCACAAATAGCTGAAAAGCTGTCCTTCAGCATGAGCCACATCTGGCGTGCAAGCTGTGCACCCACACTATCAGTCTGCTGAGCCTCAAGAGCAGGGTCCATCATCAGAGCAGGTATGGATGAAGAACACTCCTGCCCTCTTCCCACAGTCACATTACCTTACCGTCAGGCTGAATATGAGCCTCACCTCAAATTGGGCAAACTTCATACTGGACTGTGCCAGGACAGTGAGATCTTCTGTCTGTGTTGTCTAACCCAAATCAAGGGAGATATCAAGAAATAACAATGGGGGAGGGCTGCCAGGACAAGGAAAACAGACCACCAGTCCCATTAGCAGAGTGTGAGGGAGCTGGGATTGCTCAGTCTAGCAAGGAAGAGACTGAAAGGGGATAAAAGCCAACAATGAGTTGAAGGGCAGCTACAGAGGTGAGTAAGTAAATACAGAGCCAACCTGCTTGAGCACCGGGGATAGCCCAGCTAGTCCAAGCAGAAGGCTGGAGGGGAGATCCCAGAGACCTCTTCTGACCAAAACTTATGCAGTGTATCTTCTCATCAGCTTACCAGCGGGGAATTGCTTTCATTGAGAAATTAGTCAGATTTGTCTGGGATTTGATTTCAGACAGGTCAGTTCTGAAAGTTCCCATGCCATTTTGGAAACAGATGTGAGTGATCTGTGGCAGACAGTTTTCAGACTGGCACCACTACCAAGAGTAGTCCACCTGTAATCCCAGATACCACCTAAGTTTGTATTTTGGGCCAAACACAGATCTGTAGAGTCCTAACTGCAAGTCTCCTGTCTGTGTAGTACACTGTGTGTATGAGTGAATGACCGCAGACTTCAAAATCTAAATTAGGGATCAGTCACCCTCTGCCAAATCACTCTCGGTTTACTACTGTGTCAGTCTTAATCCAAAGCTTGTCGTGAGCCACGTGTGCTGCTGCGTGTGGGAGAAGTGTCCCGCCCCACCAATTTGATAACAATTTAAATTAAATAATTTCACAGGGAAAAGATTTCTTCCTGATCAAGGTCATTTGCAGAGAGAGGAAGCAAGATCTGAATCTGAATGTAACTTGGCCTTGGGTCTCAGTACAAAAGGAAAATGAATACTGAGATCTGCATTTGCTCCCTTGAGCAATTGTTGCAGCTTGCATAAGCAGAGAGGCAACAGAGTAGGTATAGAAACAGATGCTGGGATAGTGAGAAAGTTCATGCAAGCAAACTTCGGGATGACTTGCACAAAGTGTGAGTTTCTCTTATTCATCTTTTCCTCCAGCCTATTCAACTCTTCTATTTGTTTGGCTATTGTAGACGAATACTTTATTTACTTTTTTTTAGCTTGACTAACACTGCAGTTCTTGTTGAATTAACTGTCACCCCAAGAAGGCAGTGCCAATGGGTGTGCTAATGCTCTCTCCTGCCCATGATATCACAATAGTCCAGGGAACGAAAGTGTTACAAGCTGTACTTTGTTCACCTGTATGGACTGTGCTATGTGCACGTAATGCAAATAGAATGTGAAAAAGACATGTTAGCCCGAAAAGCTCTTTGAATTGCAGTAAGATAAGGGAAAGTCCCCAGGGGCCCCAGGGAAGCTGTACTCTGATTTATACAAAGCCAGTGACCTGCAGTGGCTCTGGTTCCGTTTGGAACAGCATCAAGATGCAAACTGTGGGTTTCTCATCCAACACCTTTACTCAGTATAAGCCAAATAAGAGCATTGCCTTAGCCAGGAATAGCAGATCATTTATTGGTGTAGTGAATCCACAGATAAACAGACAGCTACAAATTATGTACTGACATATCATTGGATGGGCTGGGACAACACAGCTCACCACAACTCGTTAAGCTGTAATGTCTTTATTACTGCTGTTCACATGTCTGTAGCCCGGGATGTATCAAAGGGGAAAGAAAATCAAGAAATCTGAATTCTCGTCATGCCTGAGTCCAACCAGACCAAAAGCAGCAACAAAAACAGTGGTCAAAAAAAAAAAAAAAAAAATTGCTCCAGAAA